AATAGTATCTGTGAAAACGGCTCTTTCTCCTTGCAAAGCTAGCCAGTGAAGACTTGTGTAAGAGGGGCCTCTTCTGCAGAGGTGGTGTCATTGTAGCGTCGTCGTGGTTGGACCAGGACTTTTTGCAAGCCCTGTGATTTGGGCCGAAGGACCGGTTAAAATACCGATGGGCACATTGGCTGATGCCCCGTTTCAGTTTACAATTCAAACGGGTAATTCTGCAAAACGTTGGCACACCGCCTTTTCCCCCCTCCCAAGGGGTTGCGGGTATGTGTGTGTGTGTGAGAGAGAGAGGGAGCAGTGTGCAACGTGCAACCCCACCACCAGAGTACGGGGAACTCGCAATAGAACAAAAGCTGAAATCCAACTTGGGTAAAGAGCCAGAAGGATGGGAATGTCAGTTTCCAAAAGCTTGCCCCGAGAGGGCAGTTGGAGTGCCTATGTAAAACCAGGGGCTTTAGAAGACAGCAGCCCCTTCTTTGCTGATCTCAGCAGCCCCTTCTTTGCTGATCTGAAAGAACATCTCATGAGGAAGATAATTCAGGGAGGAAGCCCCAAATCTCCTGGCCTGTCACCATTTTCATAAATCATACCTTTAGCTGGGGGCCTTTGAAACATCAAAGAGGCGTGAGAGCCCCTGTGGTGTAGTGGTGAAGGTGTGTCACTGCAGGTGGGGAAATCTGGGTTCTAGTCCCCTCCTAACCACAGAAGCTTCCTAGGGGTCTCTGGGCTAGTCCATTTCTCCCAACCCAAGAGTCACGGTTGAGTGGTGGTGAAGATGTTGGGCTGGAAGCAGGGAGACCAAAGTTCTAGCTCTCCCTTAGCTGCAAAAATTCCCTGAGTGACTTTGAGCTGGTCCCTCTCTCTCAGCCCAACCTACCTCATGGGGTTGAGGAAAATAGGGAGTACTATGTAGGCTATCTCGAGCTCCTGAATGAAAGGTGGTGTAATGGTATGTGGGAAAGACCTCAGGAGATGGAGCAAAGAGATGCTGCCTAGGGAACAGTCAGATAAGAGGCGGCATAGCCCACAACTGGATAGTGGGCGGGGCAAGAGGCTCAGAAGGGACCCTCCCTAGTTTCTCAGGCTGTAAAGGAGACCGGGGGGAGGGGAAGAGATGTACTTTCATACTTGCAAGATTCTGTTAATGTAGCCTTACAATAAAGTAGAATTAGCTCATCGGGTCGTGTTTCCTGTCTGGTCTATCTGGGAAGGCTGACAGGCGGGCTATAACTCTAATAAATAAAAGCTTGTTTACATGTTATGTATTAGATCCAGCCCTCTTCCAAAAAGATAGAGTGATTAACATATTTTATCATTTGCAATGTTATCTTATCAATTCTTCTAGGGAGGTGAAGCCAAGAGAAAAAAGGCCAGTCCAAAGTTATCAAAGGAGTTGCATGGACTGAGTGCAGATTTGAATCCTTTCTCTTAGTCTGAGACTAACCCATCCTTCCCTAGTGGCTGTGTTGGCTCGGGATGATGGGCACTGCAGTCTAACACATCTGGAGGGGACCAGGTTGGTTTTACTGCTATATCACAACATCCATTGAAAAACAAAAAAGAGTCAAATCCGACACCATCCGTTATGGAAGTTGGGTGATATTATCTTTTGTGTATCTACTTAGAAAATCAGTGGAACTTGCTCACAGGTAAATGCATGGCTGTATTCTGAGCTGACCTAATTGATTTAATCCAGTGCAACCAAAGTAGATTACTTTTAGCTCCGCAGAGCCCTGCAATTTCACTGCCAAAGTTTGCTTTCAAAAATGGCTGCATTTTTAGCTGATTTCAGCCTGGTTTTGGGGTGCGCTTGGGTGCTTTGAGGCAGGGGAATGGGATCACTTTTCCCCGGGGGGATTCCCATCCCCGTCTCCACTCTTAACACCTGCTCTGCAAAAGCCAAAAACTGAATTATCCCACCTGGAGGTCAGGAGGCTGTACTGCAAGTCAAGCCCTCAAATGTTGTCGTTCCTGCAACGTTCAGTTTGCAAACCTGCTAATTTATTTAGATGTGTGACTTGGCTAAGAATTAGGAGAAGCTCAGGTTGTAGTTGTTATGTCAAGTCACCTATGTCTGTCAAAACAAATTATAATTGGTGACCTTTTGACTCTTGGGGTGGGAAAGCAGGTAATATGCTTTCAAAAAATAGTCACTCCCCTTGTCATAATGCTCAAGCTGTATGAGACAACAAAGGTGTACCCGAGAGGCAATGTGTTGTAGCAATTTGTGTGTTGGGCTTGGGTTGTGCAGACCCACCCAGGTTTAAGTCTCCATTCAATCGTGAAGCTCACTGGGTGGTTTTGGGTTGTCTGTCCCTCAGCTAAATCTACTTCCCAGAGTTGTTGCTGCAGAGAGAGAACCAGAGGAAGGAATTCTTTGTACGCTACCTTAAATTCTTGGAGGAATTATGGCATCATAGAACTATAGACTTGGAAGGGACCATTAAGGTGATCTTATCCAACCCTCTGCAACATGCAGGCAAAGCAAGTAAACCATCCATGAGAGGTGGCTGTCCAGCCTCTTTCTAAAAACCTCCAAAGATGGAGAATCCACACCCCCATAGGTAGCCTGTTCTACTGTTGTACAGAGCTTAGTATCTGGCACAGCTTAGTATCTGGAGGTTGTCCTTATATTTAAAGAAAATCTAGGCAGCTACAAGTTGTACCCAATCTTCCTGATCCTAGTTTCTATGGCTGTGGAAAATAGTTGTGGACTCTCTCCTGCAGCTTTCCTTTATCTACTTGCACATGGCTTTTGTGTCTCCCCTAAGTCTTCTTTTCTTCCGACTGAACATCCAAGTGTCTTCAGCCTGTCCTCATGGGGCATGTCCACAAGTCCCTGGACCATCTTCATTGCCTCCTCTGAATTCTTGCTCCGGTGGCGGATTAAGCTGCCTAATAAATAACACTTGACGTGGAATGCCTAATGTGAGTTTAATGCTTAGGCCCAGTTCCTGCATCTTGCTGCAGCATCACGGCGTGGTCTTTTTCTCTGCTCTTATTCCTCCTCGCTGGCTCTCCCAGGGAGGGCAGCGGGAAAAGTCTGGGGCATCCTGCTCTGCGTTTTGAAGGTTAAGCAGGATCCTCTACCTGGCACCATGGAGGCTATTAGTCAGCAGTTCCCATCTTCTCCACCCAGACAGTGAAAAAATGGGCAAGATCGATGAATTACAATTGAATTAAAAT